CCCCAGGTGGATCTTAAATTCGAAGTGGACAAGATTCTTGTCCACTTCGAATTTAAGATCCACCAGGGGAAATAACTTAAAATTTGAAGAAACCAAATATGTTTTAGAGGCTTGTAGACACCCAAAATAGATTTTTTTATTGTTTTTTATTTTTATAAATTAAGGATGTTCAAATTGGAAATTGCTACAACTAAAGAATGGAGATAAACTTCTTAGTAATGTAATATGATTTGCAATGGAGTGCATGTCCATGTCCGTATCTGTTTCCATAATATGACCTTGAACTGAAACGTAGGGGTTTTTCAATTTTACTCTTGAAACCTGAGGTCTGGTTTCTCCCCAGGCAAGCTGACAAGAAAAAAGGTCAAAATAGTTGGCATGCTTGACTTGATGGAACAAGCTAATGTGTCAGCAATAATATGCCTATCACATGACCTTCATAGGTCAACTCCAATGACGTACCACATGTACGTAAACTGCAGATTTTGGGGTTGGCTACAATGTGTTTGGGAGGCGGTGCGAACAATGGTAGAAATAACTGGAATTTCTGGGAACTTGGCCAAAAAGTTGGTTCGTCGATACACCCATCTGTTATTAAGCCCTGGCCATGTTCTCACCAATCACATCATTTGAGATAGTGCAACCAAATGACTAACAAAAGTCTGGTACATGTACATGTGTATGCTTGCACTTGCACAGGACCTGTGGCTGAGATTTGGTGGAACAAGTTAAAGGGAAGATACAACATTTGCAAACATCAAAAAACTAATTGATCATATTATCACGAAACATCTTACTGGATTGTTAGGGAACGACAGTCGAAAGTATCTTATAAAATCATGGCTCCTGGTGTGCTGACATTTGCAGGAAAACTTGTATTTTTCAAAACTGGCTTTTTTCAAAAACTGCTCCTCAATTTTCATATTTAGTTATTCCGCATTTTCTTTGCAATTGATTTTGTACACACCTGTGAAGGGGTACAAGCCTGCTAGACTGATTCTCTACCTTACGATACCCTGACATCTATAAATTGCTTTGTTTCATCTTAAGTGGGGTCAGGGAACCAGATTACAGGAACAATGACTGTTGTTCTTGGTTTTTGAATCATCTATGATCACAAAACTTCAAACAAGTCAGTGTAGCAATATTTGCTGTAAAATACCAACCCCCAAATCCATCCATTTCTGAAAATCACAGCAAAAGCAAAAGTTGTACATTCCCCTTAAAGGGAATGTACAACATTTGCTTTTGCTGCAATTTTCAGAAATAAATGGGTTTGGAGGATTAGTATGTTATAGCAATATTGTTAAAATGACTTGTTTTACGTTTTGGGCTTGTACATGTTGGAAAAACCAAGAAAACCAATCCTGTTCTTGTACTCTGGTTCCCCGACCCACTTAAGATGAAACGGAGCAATTTATAGACCTGTGGGAATTAAAAAGTCAGAGAATCAGTCTAGCAGGCTTGTACCCCTTCACAGGTGTGCAATCAATTGCAAAGAAAACAATGAATAACGAATTATGAAAAATTAGAAGCAGGTTTTGAAAAAAAGTCATTTTTTTGACCAGCGTTGGAAAAATACCATACATGTATTTCTTGAGAATGATAGCACACCAGGAGCCACGATGTTACAGGATGCTTTAGACTGTCATTCCCTAACAATCCAGTAAGGTATTTCATGATAATTTGATCATTTCGTTTTGTGATGTTTGCAAAAGTTGTACATTCCCTATAATATTCACCATGTGAGTTGACTGTACATGGGTTCAATTAGGGGACACCCTGTGTTTGTTAGTTAGTGGTGACCTTTAACATGTTTAAGGAAGGTTTATGATTTGACCTCTAAGCATGACTTGACCTAAAATGTATTGCCGATTTGAAAAGGGGGGGGGGGGTCCAGTTCAAGGGCATGGAAATGCAAGCGTACAAGGGTACCAGTCACAACCCATGTAATGGTCAGTTTTAAAAAGGGGTTGACTCAAACTTTATACAGTAGGGGTAACCCCACCCCCATCCCACATTCACCTGTTGTAGTCAACAAGGGTTAAGTACTTTCCCATGAGTCCTACCCCGGCCTCTAATGAGCAGTAGTACAGGAAGAAATGAATTGAACAACTGCAAAAAAATAAGTATTTTTACATACATGTACTTGTACATTATACAACATGTGTCTGCATTTCGCATTTAAATTTGTACATACATGTATATCAAAATGCAGTGGACTCCTCAGGATTTTCACTCAGGGTTGGGTCAAGGGGAAATTTAAAAGGTGGCTTTGAAAGGTGGGAGAACTTTATTGTAAGAGAGAGGAACTCAAATTTGATTTGAGTAAGAAAAGTAAGATTTGAGGCTATGCATGGTGGAGATACTAAATAATGGAAAGTTTGCGGAAACACCATGGGAGAATAATTTCTCAACTAAGAGAATGGTTCTGAAAAGAACCAGAGGTATAAACTTGACGTTCCGGTCAGTATGCTCTGACCGTCTTCAGGAGAGTGCCTAAACTCTAAGAAAGTAAACACTTTAGCAAAAGCGAAATCGGTGCAGTGTGAAGATGCAGCCTACATGTATAATAAAAAAAATAGTTTATAATCCTATAAAATAAAAAAAATGTATCCTATAATAAAAAAATATTTTATAATCCTATAAAATAAAAAAAATTAATTAAAAAGTTTGGTTTCATGCATTAAAATGTAGTACAAACAAAAACCTGCTTGTTACTTTAGACAGCATGAGATCGAGATCACCTCCCACACCAGAAACGGACAGTGGCTTTATGGGGAAGTCGTCCATAATCTAATTTGTGAATGACCGGATGACCTGCAGAGATGAGGTCAAGTCTTTGAAATGGAAAACACACACAAAAAGCTCAGCTCGGTCAGGGGTAGTCTACTGACCTGGCTTGGTGGGGGGTGGGGGCTGGCTTCTGGCCCTGATTAGAAAGTTGCTGACCAGTGGAGTTTACTTTGCAGCAAATTAAATTACTGAGAATGAAATGCTCAGATCCTTCTGAGAGCATGTGAAAGTCTGAGAAAAAACAAACAAACAAGTACAAGACAACAAATATCCTTGATCCTCAATCAGAAACCTTCGCAAAGTCCAGTTTTGTGGATTGAAAAAGGTGGACCCCTGTTCCCAACAGAAATGTATAGGAGATACAGTGTATAGCAGTTCTGTCAATAATAGGCAGGCTTACATGTAGTTGTTCTGGATTCCTGCCAAAATCTAGAAACTTTACCAGGGCAGTGCACTGTTCATTTGGCAGACATACAAACCAACTTAAACTTGTGTACGTCGACTCGTTAAAATGTTAGGAATGTTTCTATGCATAATGTTTTTTTAAAAAGGAAAAAATACAGTGACGCAAGTGTATTGAATGAATACTCTTTCCTTGTTGACAAAAAAATTTCCCACCCGTACTCGGACTAGAGACCTTTGCATTGCCTGAGTGATTTCATTGACCTACAGACTACACAACAATCAACTTGTTTCCAGGGACACCAAATCCACAATGCCTGTCGGGAGTTACGATACTTAACTTTCATTGTGTTCGGCTTCAAACTGTCAATCGTTTGCAAACTCTGGATAGTTTGAGCTTTGAAATGTAGGCAGTTGCTTGAATTGTTAAATACCTGTAGCTGACAGATTGATGAATGATTCTTATTTGCTTGAAAATCCTGAAAATATTTCCTTTATGGCACTGAAAGAAAAATTCACTGGTTGGACAAGTATTTTGACCTACATTGTAGATTTTTAACACCAAAACAAGAAACAATTTTGATTGTAGAGGGTGACGGTAAACACAATGGTCAGACAAAAAGGACCAACGCATAGTAAACTGTTTACAGCTGTAGCGTTTTTTTAAGCACTTTTAATACGCTTAATTCCTGTATGATGCAAACGTTATTTGTACCAACGTGGTGATACATAATTTAATGATTTCTGTCTATGAGTGTATCCTCTATGATAGCAGTGTTGAGCTCACTCATTGCACCTACATGTACACGTAAGACCTAGGTAAAAAATGTTTCTGGTCTTGTTTTTTTGTGTTTTTTTTTTAAAGGGAAGATACAACATTTGCAAACATCAAAAACCGAAATGAACAAAATATCACGAAATATCTTACTGGACGTTAGGGAATGACAGTCTAAAGCATCCTGTAAAACCGTGGTTCCTGGTGTGCTGACATTTTCAAGAAAAATGGTATTTTTCCAACGCTGGTCGGCCGACAAGCGTTGGAGAAAACTGGCTTTTTTTAAAACTGCTCTTAAATTTTCATAATTAGTTTCTCCGCATTTTCTTTGCAATTGATTACACACCTGTGAAGGGGTACAAGCTTAATTGCTGGACTGATTCTCTGACCTTACAATTCCCTAAAGTTGACAAACTGCTCCGTTTCATCTTAAGTAGGGTCGGGGAACCAGACTCCAAGAACATGATTTGTTTTCTTGGTTTTTTCAGCATCTTCAAGCCCAAAACGTGAAACAAGTCAGTTTAACAATATTTGCTATAGGCCTAACATTCTAATCCCCCAAATCCATTTACTACTGAAAATTGCAGCGAGAGCAAATGTTGTACATTCCCTTTAAAGGAGAGGCAGCCCTTTTTTCCAAGATGATGGCCTAATGTCAGTCATGCCCCTATCTCTGTAGGTTGTGTAAAACTGTTTAGCACTTCACAAGCAAATCGCAAGTCAACTCACAAGTCCAGTCACAAGTAAATCACAATTTTTTTTCACAAGTCCAGTCACAAGTAACAGGGGAGGAACAGTAACTAAGAAATTCCTTTGTCATATTTCATTTGAAAAGTTTTCGAGCTAATGTGGGACTCGATAACTTGTGGAAAGTTGTGATTGACTTGTGATTGACTTGTGATTGTGATGGACATTTGCTGGACTTGTGATGAATCACAAGTACAATTGCATGATTGATAAAAAAAAAATCACATTAAACTTTTTTTGAAATCTAACAATCCTTTGGTTTGAAATGTTTCCCCCTCAGATTGATCCATCATGGGGATCGACAGCAACAACCGGGCGGGCAGTGGTGCAGCCTACTCCCGCTTTGCCGAAGAAATGGACATAGACTCAGTCAACCTGAGCATGCGTGGCCCGCTCTCCAAATCCCAGGGCCTGAAAGGCTTCTGTCTGAACAATTGGAAGACACTGATCGTGCTCCTCATTGCTATCCTGTGTTTTGGCATCGGAATCATCTTGGGACACTTCATTGCTTCGTCTTGTGTGGTCAAATCCAGCACAAACGGAATTCATAAAAACGAGACACTGGGGCCCGACATGGGAAGTGCTACAATGGGCCCTACAACAAGTGCTACCTCGTCATCAAAACCAGACTATTTAGCAATGATTAACGGATTGATTCAGACGTCTAGCCTTCAAGCCAATTTAAGGTAAGATTGATTTTGGGGAGGGGGGGGGGGCTTTGAGGAATCATCTTTAGTAAGGCTGGTGGTTTACATCACTTCATATATTGTAACCTTTGAGTTTACTACAGGAAGGAAAATTAATTTTCTGACATTAATAAGGGAATTAATGTGTGCTTGGGAGGTGTCAAAACAAAATAAAAAATTTCCAACACACCTCTAGCTATATAATGGAGTGTCCAGCTCGCGAGTAAGACGTAAATAACTCCTTTTATGGAGATTGGCGTGCACGTACTGCACTGCGAGATGACGCGCAGATGCAGCTGTGGTGAGTGCATTGTGAATTTAGGACTTCGAAATACTGACTCACTTGTAGTATCATGCATACCTTCGTGAGGATTGTGAGAGTTCAACCAATAAAACGGTAAAATGCACTGGATTTCATAGAGTCCAAATTTCATGTGACTCTGGAAAAGTGTTTAAGACCGGCCAGCCATGTCTTTATCATCTGTTTAAGACCGGCCACGTGACAGGCTCTCGACCAATGGGAATGGGTAAACTGTCTTGGGTATTTATGAATTTTTTTTTTTTTTAGTATTCATAAATACCTAAGACAGTTTACCAATTCCTATTGGTCTAGAGCCCATCACGTGGGTGATTTTGAAACTGCCGGTAAAACACCGCTGCATTTTGATCCACATGGCCTATTTGAACGAGTGTCAGTGGACACCTTTACAGCTAATTTGTTATAGATTGGGCTATAGTGTTCTGCCGCCTTACAAAAATTTGATAAAAAGAAAAGAAAAGGACAAATGTATGCTCGAATTAAACACTTACGAAACTACTGGCTAGGAAAACTAACAATTTCAAATGTCCAACGCTGCGCATTTGTCGACCATCTTCCACAATGCACTGGGAAAAATGAACTCTCCGTTGCAAACTCTTGGTGGCGCACTGCATTGTGAATCGCCCAAATTGATCTATTGATTCAATGAGACAATATCTTGTTATTTGACTTTTACAGGACGTATACGAATGGACCTCACCATGCTGGATCACAAGGAAATCTAGACCTAGCCGCTAAAATCTATGATACGTGGAGGGGCTATGGCTTCGACGTTTACACAAAAAATTACAGTGTTTTATTGTCAAGACCTAGCACGTAAGTTGATAAACATGTTTTGCTATTAAGGTGCGGCTGCATGGGTGAGTCACCTGCTTTGCAGGTTATTAACTTGTGAACACACACATACATCAATATTAGGTTTTGCCCTTCACCGACGTATAAACACTGTATACTCAGGGTGTTACCTCCTGAGTGACAGTTAGAAAAAATCACTCAGGTGAGACTCAAACCTACGACCACCTGATCGGTTGGCAAGTTCGAATCTGATGTACATACAGCAGCGGGTACTGCTTAATTCTAAACAGTTAAAAACAGTCACTTGATTGATTTTGATCGCTGTGATGGCGTAGCTGAATTTGCAAGCAAGAGAGGGAGGGTTGTGTTTTCACCAAATTTTTTCTTTATACAATCAGAGCGGATCCAAACAGTATTGAAATGTACAACACGGCAAATCCGACGGACAAAGATTCATTTCTACTTGAACTTGACGATACAGATTTGTCAGGCATGCTCAAACCGTTCGCAGTCTACGGATCAAACGCTTCAATAACGGTAAGAAAACCATCCTTCCGTGTCGACATTGAAACAGGTTGACGTTTTCAATTTCTCCTTTTCTTTCGTAGGTTTTGCATTCCTTTGACAAAGGTTATTCCCAAATAGTTTCCAAAAATCCTTGTTCTTCCGTGAAAATATCTGTGTTTGAATGTTTTAGGCAAATGAAATTAAAAAAAAATTGGCTGACCATTTTTGAGATTGGAGAAAAGAAGTTTGCCTTTGGTGAAAGTAAAAATCTTTTCGTTAAATTGAGACAAAGTGACAGAAAAAAACCCCAGAAATGATTGGAATTCATAAATGAAATCCGTTAATTGTAGAAATAGATATTTGTATTCAAAAATACATTGAAAGCTTTTTAAATGTATAAATTAAAATATAAACTAATTTTTTAGCCCCAGGGTGATGAGAAGTGTTGGTTTTGTCTAATATAGCCTCTCACACAAATGCCTATTGTCTTAATTGTCAAAAGTTACAATTTATTCTGATATTTATTTCACCTATCTCAGGAGGATCCCGTCTATGTCAACTTTGCGACAACGGAGAATTTTGACAAGTTGCTGCATGAAGCAGGTGTCAATTATGCCGGCCACATTTGCCTGGCCAGAATGGGACGGATCTCACTCGCTCAAATGGTAAGAATCTGGAAAATATTTTTTCAAAAAAACTAGACAAAATTTGATAAATGAAGAGACTGAGTCTGCACTAGTAATCAGGAGGTTGTGGTTCGAGTCCCACCAAGCCAGCTTGTGAATATTTTTCTTTAACCCTATCTCCCTACTATCTTTTACTTAGTACTGGACCTGTTGTTGTCCGCCAATATCCACCAATCACACTGCTTCCAATGCATGCTTTGCTTTAGGCCTCCAGGCCCAAGTTCATCATACTCCATCAATATTTAGTCAAACCAGGCCTGCAGGACCAATGCAAGCCCCCCAAAATCCACCGAAATGGGGGAATGGATTTTGATGGAGTTGGGAAGGTTAGGGTTAATACTCTCGGACCGATCTGAGTATACAGCACTTATACAAATTCTGTTGGCGAAGGCCTAACCCGGCATGAAAATCTACCTGTGTATGCTGCAAATTTGTCCAATATCCCAGTTTTTGCTGCTTGGTTTTTTGCAGGCAGAGATCAGCAAGGACCGTGGCTGTATCGCCCTGGTGGCATTCCCCGATCCCAACTTTTACGCTAACCCGACATCTCCAGCAAACTCCTTCCCCAACACTTGGTGGCTCCCTACCAATGCGATACCTCGCGAGTCGGCTCGGCTCAGCATGGGAGATCCCTCCACTCCCTTCTTTCCGTCGTATGGTATGGATACAATCCTCTGATCTCCAGGACTCTAGGCTCAGTGGACTAGACACCTGCCCTCGTACACACACGCACGCTTACACAGGCATAGAAGTGGGGTACTTCCTTTGTTCTCGTGTACTAAAATTTTGCAATGTCGCACACTAATGTCAAAATGCTCTTATTTTAACCAGAATTAATTTCCTGGGCTCAAATTCAGACTTAATATCCCTTTTCTAAAACTTTTCCATTTGCGACAGATCAACCCACCTTGGAAATTCCTAGTTTTTTAATCAAATCCATATATCTATTTTGTGAAAAACTTGTGGGGTACCAAAACGGTACCCCGCAAGTCGGTGGGCATTCCTTGTGGGGTACCTCCCATTGTTCCGGTACCCCCATAAGGCAGTGTTTACACGTTCACAGGGACAGACAATGTCCCAAAGACTAAAAAAGAGCTAGGGTTTTCTTTCATTTGTCACGCTTGTCTTCTGTTCCTCTTTCAGATATGGCGCCTCGCAAACCCCTCACCTCAGTTGAAGACTTTCCAGTTCAGACAATCAGCTTCGCCACGGCAAAAAAAATCCTTGCGTTAGTACATTAATTTTCCAGTTCAAAAAACAAATTATGTTAGAATGACATCACACAAGTCGTATGTTTTGCATAATTATTCATAAATTGTAGACTAGACACCTGTCACTTCCTTTGACTTGCCCATCCATAATTTGCAACAACTCTGAACACATTTCAACCTAAGCTTCCTTACGCGTGACACAGTTTTGGAGTCATATGGGGTCTTAAAATTAAACTTAGCCACCACGATCACTTTTTCCAGCACCATTTCACATTCACATGAAGTATAAGCGGTTTTAAAGTTCATTCTTTTAGGCTTAAAGGCAAAAGGCCAGTTCATGCTAGGCGTGAAAGTGAACGCAACTGCGCTTTTGTGACGCCATTGCAAGAACTTGCGTTGCAAATTAGCAAAATTTCCTGATGTCAAATTTGCTTCGTATTAGCATGAAGTTTGAACCGGTCTTGACTGTGTGTATTTGTTTTTTCTTGACAGTAAGATGGCCAATCCTCCAGCCACTGAAGATTGGATCATTGATGCGCCGGAAATTTTCGTTGGGCCAGGCTTTCACGTTGCAACCCAGCACTTGAGGCTCAATATCTACAACACGTTGAGTTTGACTAATATCACCAATGTCATTGCTACTATCCCAGGAACTAAAGAACCAGGTAAGAGCCAGTTGGGTTTTTCGCAAGTCCCTCACAAGTCTGGTCACAGGTCTGTCACAAGTCTGGCCACAAGTCCATCACAAGGCCATCACAAGGCCATCACAAGTTCATCAGACAGAAGTGTAGTCACAAGTCCTGGTACAAGTCCAGTCACAAGCAAAGCACAAGGCCATCACAAGTCCAGTCACAAGTCATTGTACAAGTCTTGTCACAAGTCCACCACAAGTCAATCACAAGCAAAGCACAATGTAGTCACAAGTCCAGTCACAAGTCCTGGCACAAGTCTTGTCGCAAGTCCAGTCACAAGCAAGCACAAGGCCATCACAAGTCCAGTCACAAGTCCTGGTACACGTCTTAATTGTCACAAGTCCTGTCACAAGTTATTGTACAAGTCTTGTCACAAGTCCATCACAAGCAAAGCACAATGTCATCACAAGTCCAGTCACAAGTCCTGGTACAAGTCCAGTCACAAGTCCAGTCACAAGCAAGCGCACAAGGCCATCACAAGTCCAGTCACAAGTCCTGGTACACGTCTTAATTGTCACAAGTCCTGTCACAAGTTATTTTACAAGTCTTGTCACAAGTCCATCACAAGCAAAGCACAATGTCATCACAAGTCCAGTCACAAGTCCTGGTACAAGTCCAGTCACAAGTCCAGTCACAAGCAAAGCACAAGGCTATCACAAGTCCAGTCACAAGTCCAGTCACAAGTCCTGGTACACGTCTTAATTGTCACAAGTCCAGTCACAAGCAAAGCACAAGGCCATCACAAGTCCAGTCACAAGTCCATCACAAGCATAGCACAAGGCCATCACAAGTCTGGTCACAAGTTCATCACCAGCAAAGCACAAGGCCATCACAAGTCTGTTACAAGTCCATTCACAAGTAAATTCTTTTTTCGTTTGTACAGCATTCAAAGCATGTTTGCATGGCCACCTTTGAAATTTTGTATCTAGAGCAAAAAGAGTAAATCGGCTATCGTTTGTGATACAAATGAAACATTGACTTTCTTTCAGATCGCTACGTGATCATCGGCAACCATCGTGACTCCTTTTCACAAGGTGTTGTGAGTCCTGGGACGGGTACAGCTTGTCTGATGGAGGTAGCTAAAGTCCTGTCTGAGTTGACGAAGCAAGGTGAGCATACCAAAATGATCTTGCTGACTTGTTTGTGTGTCAGTACTTCGATCGTTTTATTTTAGCTTGACCCCCTCACTCTATCTACACACCTTGTTATTCTAAAGATTTGAAAATTTGAATGAAAAGATATATATGGTGTGAAGCTTTGCATGGCGGATGAGATAAAGTAGAAAAATTGCGGGTAACAGCATGTGGAAAGAAATCTCTTCTTGGAAGAAGTGTGGTTCTGAAAGGATTCCCATGTCTGCCATCACTAATTTTCCCCTGCAATGACCTATCAGCCATCAGAAAGTGACAGCATGTCCTAAAATCAAAGTTAGCAGGGACAATAGTAGAGTGTTTACTGACAAAAAAATTAGAAATTTTCAGACCAGTCTCGTAGGATTTGTGCAGCGGGTGACAAGTGATGGCTGATATGGGAATCTTTCCAAGGAAGGCTCCGCATTCAATATAGGTGAGCTTGGATGAAGACGAGTTACAGTTTAATGTCTACTTGTTGAAAATGAGATTTGATTGTTTGTTGTCTAGGATGGCGACCAAGACGAACTATTCTCCTGGCGAGCTGGGATGCAGGGGAAGACGGACTGATCGGCTCAACTGAATGGGTGGAAGTAAGTATTCCTGACTTATCATCAGCATAGCTGTGTTATAGCTGAGTCCATTATACACGCTGTCACGTTACATCGATCTGTCTGGCCCCTCATTCTGCACACGAGGGCAACATCATGTGGAGTGCCGTGGCCTAGTGGTCTGGAGCATTGAATTTGTGGTCTGCGGGTAATTCTGCAGGTTGTGGGTTTGAGTCCAGCCTGGGGTTATGGTGCGTGTGCCCTTGAGCAAGGCACTTTGTCACTCATTGCTTTTCTCTACCCAGGAGTAAATGGGTACCTGTGAGGGCAGTGTTGGTTACTGTGAGAGGTTGATTACGGCCAAGAGCGCCGAAATGGCTGCCTACCGGCCGTGTATACTCCCCAGGGAGTTGAGGTTTCAGGAGTGTTTGCCTGTTGAACAGGTGTAATAAAAATTGTATTGCGCTTTGATACCCCGTTTAAAAGCACTATATAATGCCTGTTGTCATTATTACGTGAGCCTTTCCAAAAGCCACGGTGCATGTTAAAGCCGCTTACATCCCACACGCATGTCAGACTTTTGCACATGCAAGAAACTTCACCTAGTTTCTACTAAGTTTGTTGACAACTTTTGTACTTTTTTCAGGAAAATATGGAGAAACTTCACTCGAGAGGCGTAGCTTACATAAACCTGGACGATGCGGTGACTGGTAACTACAGCTTTGCAGCTGCAGGGAGCCCTCTGTTGGCAGACGTCATCTTTAATGCTGCCAAGGAGGTGAGTTAGAGGATTCTGAAATCCGTGGCTATGCAAGGGGCTGAATACGGGGTACAACTTGGATCCAGATTGCATGAGGGCAATAGAGGGCTCATTTTCTGGAGCAAGCACTTAAAGGGAATGTACAACATTTGCTTTTGCTGCAATTTTCAGAAATAAATGGATTTGGAGGATTAGTATGGTATATAAAATATAGTTAAACTGACTTGTTTCATGTTTTGGGCTTGAAGATGCTGGAAAAACCTAGAAAACCAATTATGTTCTTGTAGTCTGGTTCCCTGACCCCACTTAAGATGAAAAGGCAATGAATACACTTTGGGGAATTGTAAGGTCAGAGAATCAGTCTAGCTGGCTTGTACCCCTTCACAGGTGTGTGATCAATTGCAAAGAAAAGTCAGAATAACTAAATACGAAAAATTAAGAACAATTTTTTTTTTTAAAGCCAGTTTTCTCCAACCAGCGTTAAAAAAATGTAGTTTTTCTTGAAAATGTCAGCCCACCAGGAGCCACGATTTTAAAGGATGCTTTAGACTGTCAGTTCCTAACAATTCAGTAAAGTATTTCGTGATAATTTGATCATTTCGTTTTTTGATGTTTGCAAATGTTGTATTTTCCCTTTAAACCCAGTTTTAACAAAAAGCTAACTTTTTGCCTTGCCCACATCCTCCACTAGGGGTGAGAGGGGGGGTTGGGAGGGGGCACACAGGCAGGATACATGCTCCCCTGCTCCCTACTTCAACGCGACTGGGTTGAAACCACTTCCCTTAGGCACATGTGCTTCTACTGTCCGTGGTAGCTAAGTAATTAAAATAGTGTTGCAGAGAGGGGAAAAATTTGGGGTATTGTGCCTTTGATGATCCAAGCATGGCATTTGGCACACAGAGTATGCCTTATGAAAGATATTTGGCTATAGGGCCTACGCAAATTTGTCCTTTGAAAATTCATAGGTAGAATAACAAGCAATTCTCAAAATGGCTGCAATTGCTTGTTATTCTAACTATATTTTTTTTCAAAGGACAAAGCTGTCTTTCTCATGAAAGATCTGCTGTACTAAAGCATGGCTGCAGTTAGTGTTTTATTGGAAAAAAAATTGGGTTTCCTCAAAAAGTAAAGTAGCTATTGAGCTCAAATTTGCCATGCTTACTACTTAAGATTTTGGGAATTTTTGCAAAAATTCAAATGCTCCTACATAAGTGTTCCTTTGAAACACAACAACGTTTCTACATGTCTGAGACATTTGGTGATTGTTTTTAATCAGGTGAACTGTCCTGAGCAATCGCATCACAACATGAGCATATACGACGACTGGGCATCCAGGAGACCAATCAGCGCAACCAATCAAAAGCCCCAGTAAGTTGTTGACCATTGTATTACATTTGTATTACATTTGTATTAAATTGTGCTACATTGTGCTACATTGTATTAAACGGTCCTGGATCATGTATTTATGTGCTTAATCTATGGGAGAGTGTTGTATAACAAGGACAAAGGAAAAGACAATGGCTTGTCCTCGAGAGCTATGTAAAACATGACTGTGTGTTCAGAAAGGTTTGTGGGCTCTGTGCACAAGTACGCCCTCAACGGTAAGAAAGGGAGAGTTGGGGGAGACCACTGGAGGAGACATTTGAATGCACCCCCTCGTGGGTACAGCCACAGGTGTTTTCCATTACTTGATATGTGGAATGTTTTCTTCCCTTCTGCCTGTAGGTTGGATCCTCTTGGCAAGGCTAGCGACTCGGCTCCATTTCTCATGCTCGCTGGTGTCCCGTCGGTGGATTTGCAATACACTTACGATGAGGTACGTGCTCTTTCCGTATAAAACATTTCTGTGCTCTTGGTTTACTCTCGTTAGTGAGCCAAGTCAGCCAAATAGCGCCCTCTATAGATTGAGTTAGGAGCCAGTCGGTCTCCACACTGTTGCACCTGTTGGTGGTCGTTGCTAGAACTGTAATTGATTAGAGACTAGAGGGGCTCTAATGTAGGCAGAAATGTTTTCATGGAGAATTTTTCAGGGGGGGGGAGATTCAATTTTCTATCAATTTCAGAAAGTTGATTTGGGTGGGGGTTTTGTTCAGGGTCATTCCATGTCGAATCATAAAAAAAGTTTGAAAATTTAAATCCCAACCCTTCCAAATTGGTTCATATTTCATAATGGTTCATATCACATTTTGGGAACAAGTATGCCAATTTTTCGATATTTTGTAGAAACCATGTTGGGGTATAATTTTAATCCAAGTTCGTCTCAAGGTCACATGATCCATAAGGTCAAATTCAAGGTCCAAGTAAAGGCCAAAAGGTCATCATACTTCAACATACTCAGACATGAAAAATAACGCTAAAGTGGGATTCCTTATGATGTTACTTTTCCACAAAGCAGCCAAGATAAACCAATTTGGCCCTCAAGTTATTGAGATTTGGTCATTTGAAAATTGGCGACCATGCCCATTTTTGCCAAATCACCCCCCAAAATAGCGGGTAGTGGCGCAAACTGTTGGTCTGATGGCACCTGAACTGAAGATTGTAACTTTTTGGCCAAAATTACCCCATACACTAATATGAACCAATATGAAGGGGGTGTGGTTTTAACCCATAGGGTGATTTGACATGGAATAACCCTTCAATTCTGTTTCTTCAAACTACAAGAATGCACAAAAAGCAAATGTTTCTATTAAAGGGAATGTACAACATTTGCTTTTGCTGCAATTTTCAGAAATAAATGGATTTGGAGGATTAGTATGTTATAGCAGATATTGTTAAACTGACATGTTTCACGTTTTGGGGTTGTAGATGCTGGAAAAACCAAGAAATCCAATCATCTTCTTGTAGTCTGGTTCCCTGACTCCACTTAAGATGAAACGCAGCAATTTATAGACTTTGGGGAATTGTAAGTTCAGAGAATCGGTCTAGCTGGCTTGTACCCGTACTGTGTGTAATCAACTGCAAAGAAAATGCGGAATAACTAAATATAAAAACTTAGGAGCAGTTTTTGAAAAAAGCCAGTTTTCTCCAACGCTGGTGGGCCGACCGGCGTTAGAAAAAATACAGTTTTTCTTGAAAATGTCAGCACACCAGGAGCCACGATTTTACAGGATGCTTCAGACTGTCGTTCCCTAACAATCCAGTAAGGTATTTCGTGATAATTTGATAATTCCATTTTTTGATGTTTGCAAATGTTGTATCTTCCCTTTAAAGTACCTTTAACTGTTGGAATTGATTTGTCGTCAACCAACAGAAGTTCTACAAAGCACCTAAGTACCCGACCTACCGTACATTGTGTGACAAGGCAGAGAACATTAATCTCTTCATTGATCCGGACTTTTCAATCCACGCTGCCGTGACGGAAGTGGCAGCAAGGGTGCTCGTGACTTTGGCAGACACGACCCCACTTTCAATGAAGGTGTGCGACTATGCCGATGCGTTGACCAGATATATGCAGGATTTCAAAGATCAGTACGGGGCAATGCTCCAAAGCAAAGGGATATATTTAGGTGAGTTTTGTTTAAGACTTGATGAAGAGGTTTTTTGTTTTGTTTTTTCAAAAAGCAAGTTTTTTACAAGGATTTGGTTGTTGGTTTTGACCCGGCCCGAAAATCACAAATGCAAAACCTTAACCCACCCGCCCCGATTGAAATGATGGACGACCCGACACAGCCCTAGGTCGTTTCTGGGTCAGGTCAGTTTCGGTTTGCGGGTTGGTTTTTCACATTAGTCTGTAACCTTCTCCAACATTGCTCTTATTTGTGGTTGCTTGCAGATCCACTGCAAGTACAATGGATCCACTTTTCTATGTTATCAATTATGCTACATGTAGGGGGGCAGGGAACAAGTCTAGCTTGGGAAAAACTGATTTATTGTCAGGCTGTAAATAGTTTATAATGCATGTTAAAACAAAATCATTCTACATGTGGTGCTCGACTTTAATACAAGCATTCCTTTATTATTGTTCACCCTCTGTTACCTGTGACGGGACTAGTGAAATGACTTGTGATTTACTAATGAAAAGACTTGTGATAGACTCGACTACAACGCTGCATTGAGCAGTTGAAGAAATATCCAATGAGACTTACCTGCTTTTAGAAACTGTTATAATGTGTAGGGTTAGGAAATTTACCGCTGTGGTATATTGCTGACATGACTTGAATCTTTGTTTGAGCTTCATTTGTTACAGTTGCCGTCTTTCATCCACAGATGAGTTGGAAGCAGCTGTCAAGCAATTTTCTGAAATAGCAGAATCTTTCCAACACTCGTTTGATAACCCTAATGAAAATGAGTAAGTCTCCATGCTTCCCTTCACTGGCAGTATTTCAAAAAGTTAGCCCAAAAAGCAAAAAAATGGAGAAAAAAAACCAAGGTGTCCCTTGTTCGAAGAAATCCTCCCCCCCCCCCAAAAAAATGAAGTTATGCTTGTTTGAAATATGTCAACATCAAACCGTTTCTTTCAGGTCAATTTTGAGATTTTTCTGAACTCGTTCAAGTCCCCCACATCAGGCAAAACTTGGCCTAATTTTAGCCCAATGTACTCTCCGGACATCTCTGTTTTTTGCTTTTTGCGAATCATTGTTCACATGATTGCCATGTATGGAAATGACCAATCCACACCAATTATTAAAGTTTTGAAAAAAAAAATTTAAAAATTAAAGAAAAAGTAATTGAGGTTCAATATTAATTTCAGAGTTGAAAATATTTGTTGGCAAGATTTTCCAGTGTCTTTAATATTGCTACAAAATTATTATTAGAATTCATGTTGACATAATTATGGATTTCTGTTATATTAGGTTTACTGTCAGACAGGTTTTACTAAGGAAATAAATGTGTGCTTTGCAGGTTTTGAACATTCTGTTTAAGACCAGTTGGAGTCTGGATGCTGATAATTACCCGAGCCGAATACCGACCAAGCACATATTTATTCCCATCCATAAATACCTTCTCGGTAAAAAAATCAAAACTTTGGTCCAAAAGTCAAAACAAGTCAAAAATTATAAATTCTCAATGATTTTGATCAACAAAACACCCCTCTGGCTATACAATGGTAAGGCCCTCTGGTAAACAACTCCTTATATGGAGATTGATGCGCGCGTCGTGTGTACTGTGTGATGTGGCGCACAACGCAGATGTACCGGTGTAGTGTGAATTTAGGACTATGAAATACTGACTCACTGGTAGTATTGCACATGCCTACGTGAAGATTGTGAACGTGAGGATTTTGAACCAATAAAATGGTGCTGGCACCGGATTTCATAGGAGTCAAAATTTTTATGTGACACTTGAAAAGTGTTAAAGACCAGCCAGCCATGTCTTTATCAACCGTTTAAAACCGGCCACGTGACAGGCTCTCAACCAATAGGAATGGGTAAACTATCTTAGGAATTCAAGAATTACATTTTTAACTGAAACATTTCAAAAGTGAAAATAATGATTTCAATATTAATCGGGTTTATATTTAAATTTCTTTTCTAGTGAGCTGATTATGAGAAGAATGAACGACCACGTCATGACAGTGGAAAGAGCTTTTCTTGTCAATGAAGGACTACCACTCAATCCAGAGTCAAGGTCAGTATATCCTAGAAACAAAAATAATTATTCAAATATCATTTCTATCAAAAGTTACTTTTAGAAGTTCCTGGACTATATTTCTGTTACTTAACTCAGCAACTCTAAATGCTATCTACCACTGGAAAGCTCTGATTTTACGGAATCCATATCTCAATTCTTAATTCTGACTTGAAGGCCCCCGTCAAAAAATACTCGGTCTCTGGTCAGCGCGCGCGTCGATTTTAATCATGCGCGTCAACTTTTTTTTTCTTCAAATTAACACGGAAGCTACAACAGCAAATTGCACCAAGGCAAATGATAAAGGGCACCAAGGCAAATTATGGAGGACACCAATGTATAATGAGGACACAACAAAGTACCCACCTTATCTGTACAATACAAGCTTGAAAAAAAAAAGCCACCAAGAAAACAAAAACAAAACGCGTCGCCGCATCAATTCCGGAACTTCGGTCTGACCAGAGACCGAATTTTTTTTTTTTGGTCTAAGCTCATTTTGATTTACGATTTAGCTGCTTAGAATTTGCTGTAGATTTGTTTCAAAAGAAGGCAGTCCACTTACATGTACCTGTTTTTCCCACATGTTTTAATATAAACGGTCAACATGGCTTCCGTCAAAAAGTGTTCACAGAAAAATAGATGAATGCATAGAAACTAAACACCGCAAAAAAGAAAGTCCACACTCATTGGAGGGGTCATAATTTTAAATCTGATCGTCTTATGATTATGTCATTTTGTATAGACCTTTGGGGAATTTTGTTGGCTACATTTTGATACCCGTTTGCTACCAAAAGACTGTAAATCAGTCAACATTGACAATGGTTTATGAGAAATGATGCAGTTTGAAAAGTTGCAAATTTAAAGATTACGCCGGAAGAAATTGCTAAGCGCAATCACACATGCCCGTAATTGGCCCCTATCAACTGCACGGTGCCAGAACAAAGCACTGGTAATTCAATTCACGTGCTCCCATGCATGCAAGCACTGTCATGACTGTGCGATCGGTATTCCCTGCCATTTGTTTCAGGTAGTGTATCATTGTCACGCAGCCACTTCCACTCGTGAACATGTACCTATAAATTTTTCATTTTTCCAAACTGCATCATTTTTCATAACCCTTTGCCAGTGTTGGACAATTTACCGTCTTTGGTAGCAAACGGGGTATCAAAATGTAGCTAACAACATTCCCCAAAGGTCTATATAAATGACGCTATCATTATACGATCAGTTCCAAAATTATGACATCTCCAATGAGTGTGGACTTACTTTTTTTTGCGGTGTTTATATGTACCTGTGTGTAATAATTGAATGGAAAAAAATGATACACTTAACTGAAATCTGATCACTGTAATAAGATCATATGTTTGTTCATCACGCAGGCATCTAATTTACAGCGCTGATGTGTCATCAGTCTACAAAGGTGCAGCCTTTGGGCCTCTGGTCCAAATGATGGTCATGGAGCAAGAACTCAATCACTGGAACTATGTTGAGGAAACACTTGGCTACACTGTGCTGGGTCTGTATCAAGCCACAGATATTCTGCGAAATATGGCATCAACATGGTAACATTTCAGTAAACTTCCATCGAAAGCAGTGGTTTTTTTTCCCGTTTCCTTTTTTTTTTTGTCTACCGCCCCTTGAACAAAGACATTGACAAAATGGAGAACCGTTAACCTAATGCGGGATCGCTCAGTTGGTGGAGTACCAGAACGGCAATCTGGAGGTCGCAGGTTCATATCCCACTCCAGTCAATTTCTTTTTTCAACTTCAATTTCTTTTGATACCTTTTTAAACTTTTGTTTCCCATCCAACATAATATATTACATTTGCTGTAAATATGGATTTGTTGAGAAGTAATTTCTCATTTTCTTTCAACATGAATGAAGACAGATTTTGAAGTTTGCTTTTATAAGTGGCTGAATTTAATTGCAAATACATTATGATACCGATTTTTTCCTACAGCGGGATATTGTTATGTTTGTTGCAATGCTGTTGCCAGCTACAGGAATCCTATGTTTCATTATCAGAAATAATTAATAACAGTAACAATAACACTTTTGCATTAGCCTGACCAGTCTCAGTCCAATAAGATCCAATAAGCACAGGAGCTGTTGGATTCTGTTGGATTCTGTTGGATTCTGTTGGATTCTGTTGGATTCTGTTAGATTCTGTTGGATTCTGTTGGATTCTGTTGGATTCAGCGGGCATTCCATTTATTTTTGGTCTGGATTCAACAGGATTTTATTCCGTTTTCCCAACCAACTTTGCAATTAATGCATTTTGTCTTCATTCATCAAAAAAAACATTTACGCTTTTTTGTGAAACTTTAAAAATTTAATCTGTAAATACTTCTACGAAATGTACAAATAGTATGTACTTTTCCTCTGTAAGATTGAAGAAAAACAATTTTTGCATTGAAAAGTAATAAACACGTCGGTGTAAATGTATATTGTTGAAAAGAATAAGTTTGAAATCTTATTAACTCAACGTAGAAAAAAATTATTGGCAAGACTAAAGCTTTATCATGAAAAGTTACATTGAAAAGCCACAAGCTTTTATGATTTCTGTTATCGTGGATTATTATATAATTTGTGTACTGGTGATTACCAACATTGCTGCATGTGGACATTTGAAAGTGTAAATACGACGCTAACTACCTGCCGCAGTGACAATTTATGTCTTGATGGAGTTTCCTCATTGTCAGTGTCTTTGTCAACTTATACATGTTGTGTCAATGTGTTCATGTTGTGTCATTGTATTTAAAAATGCGTTAACAAATTCGCACTGGAGGCGGTGTGTACAGGTAAAGTTTTGCGGTGTTCAGAACGGCTGACAGATAAACACGCAGGGAGCGAGGCTAGAAATATCTGTCAGCGACCTGCTCGCAGCGAGCGAGGCTGGAAATATGAGTGTGCTGCCCGAGGGTGATGGCTTCAACCCGCCTGGCTTGAGGTTGAGTGAAAAGTAATCTCACGCCTCGTTCCATTCTAGTCAAAATAATACCAACGTGAACTGGGTAACAAAGCTCAAGCAAAACATTTTGCTTACATTCAGTGACCAGTGACCAGCGCCTGAAACAAAAAAAACAAACAAACAAACAAAAAAGAAAAAACTAAAAAGAAAAAAAAAGGAAAGCACCCCAATTCTTAGTAACACTTTTACAATTTTGACTATGGCATTCAAGTCCCAATAACCAAGAGTTTAGGGAGTTTTGTTATGTCCCAGTAAATTTTGTGGATTTTTTGCGGATGCTCAGAATAATTAAGTGCTTAAATTTGAAAATGATTAAAACAAAACAATTTTGTGTATACTTTTTTATTTGATTTAATAATATTTTTAATTGGTTTGGTTGAAGACCATCACATGCGATTGAAGACCATCTGGCATTCTCTGTGATATCGAGTGAAACTTGTACGTTCACCAAATATTTTCATTTTTAAATATAAAGTCCGTTTCCTACTCTATCACTGTTATCGGTAACTATATGTAATATGAGGTTTGCTTTGGCCAGAATAATTCTGAAAAAAAAAGCTTAAAGGCATACTTATACTGTACTAACAACTAATTTCTTGTTTATTTTACTCCTTTTTAAGCAATATTGGCTGCATTTTATATTTTGTTGCTCTTCGTTCTTGTCAATTTTTTTCTTTAAAATATATTTCAAGTATTGGACTTTTGCAGAGGAAAACCAACTTTACTTTCTATATAGCTCTATTTTATTATTTTGTCGAAGTAACTTCTTTTTACTCCATCTGAAGTTGTTTTTCTTTTGTCTCTTTAATATTTTGTAGTTCTTAGCTATTTTTTAGTTGTGCTTGAAGCATTTTATATTTTCATCTTTGTCTTGTGGTAAAAAAAAATTCCAAAATCATGTGTCAAGTTTTGTTCCATATTGTGTTTCCCTACTTGGCAGTGGGAAAGAAAATAGGAAAATTTCAATAACAGATATTGTACGATACACATACAGTACAATCTTTAACCCTAATTCTCTAGGCATTTTTGCTAGGATGCAACCTCAATCCTTTAAAACCCTCCAACTGCCTCCATGTAAAATGGCATACAGTCTCAATCCTCCAAAATCCTGTGTTATTTCTTGAATGTGGTCCTTGGAGGGGTGACCACTGCCTCAATCCTGAAAAATCCTCCGGCAATCACTGTCAAGATGTTGTTGCAGAGCCAATGACATCCTGGAGCAACGCGAAGGATTTCAAGTATAGGTCTAAATGTATGCACGGCTGAGCATAAACAACACAAGGTCCGGCCCAAGACCTTGACACAGTGCATTTTCCAAAATTAGCCACACATTTTTGCCAGAGAAAGCCTCAATCCTGCAAAATCCTCCATTTTGCAAAGAGGATTTTGGAAGGTTAGGGTTAATTAATCCAAGTAAGCTCAGTGATAATGCAAATGATCCTTAATTGATGTTTTTAATTTTAGATTCACTTTTAATGGACCGATCCAGTAAGCCCCTCCCACTGCGCACGTGGGCAAATTAACACGTGCTCCTCTCCAATGCCACACTGCATTTTCCTTCCGCGCGCATCATACGCGCGTGCACGCATGTCGGACTTTTGTGCACGCACGTCGGACATAAATCACGGCTGTGATTGGTCAGAATACCATGGGGCGGTGCTTACTGGATCGGTCCATTGGCAAGTTGTTACCCTTTCTGGTTTAAAAAAGCATGGAGTGTGTGCAGACAACCTGCGCGCATGCACAGCACCATCTCAATACGGACCTCGCCGGATAATTGATTGAAAAACAGGTCACGAGGCAGGCTTTTATATGCAGGACACTATACAAAGTAACAGTGCAATTTTGGTTTTCATCCAGACATATTAAAGTTTGGATGAATAAGTTTCAGATACTCAGAATGTAATACATGTAGTGCCTCTTTGTGTTTTTGGAGGAAAAAAGTGTGTATCGAATCTCCATTGTATTACATGTATTTGAAGGAGAGGAGATTTGTACATGCGTTCCTCTGATGCACTGATTAATGCAAAAATTCTATGTGTAATTATGTACAGATAGACTGACAGTATGTGGTGTATTGATTTTTTATTGATGAGATTTTTTGTTGAGTTTGTCTTTGATTTAACATGTACAAATTTATACAAAAAATTAAACTTTAAATGTTTTTTTTTAGTTTTTTTAATGTTTGGCTTCCCACAGGTATAAGCCCCAGTACGGAATCGAAAGTGCCAGATTTTGAAATAATTATTAACAGAAGCCGTTAATTTTATGCAATTTGAATCTCAGGTTGACCACATGAAAAATGCAGTCCTTGGTTTAATATTTGATTTCTCTTGGAAGATAGGTCTGTAGCAGGATAAAGTCCATCCCAAAATAAGCGTTACTGTTTGTTTGTATTTTCATTTTTTTTGTAATGAGCCCCCGCACTAATAGCTATAATCGTTAATGTTTGTATATATATACTTTTGAAATTTTGCTACAGTTTGAAATCAAACAATAATTTGGGCAAAAAATATGAACTTTACCTAGAGAAATTGAACTCTATCGATAAAAATGAAGATTCAGATTTCAGTTTTCAAAGGATATTTTGAAAAACGGATGCACAACTTGTAAAGGTTTTACATTGACAGTGCAAGGGGTACTGAAACCATCAGACATCTGGTGTTAAAACTTTAGCTCCATTTATTTGACAAAACGAGAGGTCAAACATTTGCATATGACCTTTATGCTAATCAGTCCATTGTTAATTTGTATATTGTGTTCACGTTGCCCAAGATTATATGGGATTTGAAATATATGAGTTGTTCCTGTATTTTAGGGCAAACTTTCATGTGTACACAATATTTGTAATTTGTATACGTACAGTATATAATATAATAATGGCTTTCTTTGCTATGAAGTGATTGTGTGCTTAAATTGTAGTGTATTTTTTTGCTGTTTTTTTTTGTGAAATGCAAATATGGGCTTGTACAGAATTTACATATTATGTTGACTGTAATGTAAGATATATATATTTTGAGGAGACATTATTCATATATTATTATGATCGATTGTTTAAACGTGAGTAGTTAGCATTAAGCCCACCTCTCCTGTTTATTCCTTTGTATCGCTTCGTATTGAAGGTATGGCAGTCTTCGATATTTATTTGTATTCATGTACATTTATAAGAATAGTGTTCAAGATGTCATAGTTACTAATCCTGTACCTATCCGATTATATTATACCAGAGTGCAAGAATAAATGTTAACCCGTTTCATGTGAATGCTGTTTTCTGTCGGTGACCTATCGCCGTTTGCGTGTAAGCCACGCCCATTAGACAACCCTATGGAGTTTTTATACACTAAGTTTTGTTCGTCTTGGATGTTGCGCGTTGCGCGTCCATTTTTATGTCATGTAATTGGACAATAATTACAAGCTGCGTTTCTAACGCGATTCTACCGCGATGTCAATTTGGATCAGTTTTCTGTGTACAGTACCTATACACCTAGTGCCAGGCTCCGGTCCTTGATCACGGCTGAGTTTCACCTGTCTCCCATAGGAAAGCGCACCTGTAACCAAAGCGTGACGTTTTAAGCAGAGCTTTTCCCAGTAATATGAACATGAAGAAATTTGCAAGTTGAATTTGCCCAGATAGCTCGGCGTGGTCATGTGCTACCGCATTTTGTCGTTTTATCTAAACACTCGTATTTCAGCACAATGTTTGTCAGTGAAAATATCGGTGCATATTTAAGTCGAGAATAGCCCCCGTTGCAGAATGTATTGGTGTACCATTAGAGTCCCGCAGAGCCAAACAGATCGATTGCATTCAGCAACCATCTTTGAGGTTTTGTTTTAATGTTACTTCATTAACAACTATGTAGGTCTTCTCATGTGCATCCCAGTTAAACAAATTTAAACACACCTCGAACATGGCTGTTGTGCAAACGATCGATAAGAGCGACCTAATAGTCGACCCAGATTTTGTTCATTCTGTATGTTTGTCTTTGAGTAGACTCTTGGGTCGCTCTGTATGACTGCAAAAGTAGATCTTTCGCGATTAGTCCCTCCAAAATGTCGAACTTGAAAATGTTAAAGAGCAAATCGGTTCGGCGCGTCTATGATGGACAGCCAGACTGAAGCGGGTGAACACTTCACCCCCGTGCGGGTGGTAACCAGTGGTTACTGATTGGCAAAACGCCACGGCGGCAACATCTCCGACGACTTCATGACGAAAGTTGGTTGTCTGACGTCTTGAAAATGGATGGGTTTGGTTTAAGTATCAATCTGGTGGCTGGCCAGTTTTCCTGGGGAAACGATTATGGGCTGGTTTGGCTGATGATAGATAGCAAGACTGTCTGAAATACGCCGACGAGAATCCGCTGTCCGCGTTGACCGAATATACTGCATGTTTGACCCACTTGCAATAAAAGTAAGGCATTCATCATTCACTCACACTTGTTTTTATCACTAACTTTATTTTCACTCACCACAACAAACCGTTTCACATCAATTAAGTCTTAAGGCACTTTTGTACTTGAAAAGAGACAACTTCTAAGTTTTCGTGAGTTTTCAGTTTCAGTTGGGTTGGGTTTGCGAATAAGTGTTTGATAAAACAATTGGTTTTGTGTCTATCTCTTGCCAAGTTTGGCAATTGGACACTTTGTAGATGCAGATTATTTTACAGACATGTTTTCGTGCAGTGGATTTCAGTTGTCCAAAATTGGAGAACCAAAAACTGCATCTAAAAGTAATGGCTATACAGTTTTAGAAATTGACCGCAAGCAGGCGCGGCTGAAAACCGCAAATTAGTAGCTTAAATTACAGATGTCTGTGTCTTAAAATGTATAACAGTAAAAACTAATCTGTTATTTACATGTACATTAGTCATGGCGGTATTATGCATGGGCGGAGCTTAGCCCCCCACAAACCAGCATTATTTACGCAAATTTTAAATTGTTTTACTGGTCAGTGTTGGCAAAATTCCAGACTAAACAAGCTTATATGAATGATCAGTAAGCATCAAACTTGGTGAACGACGCTCATCCTTTTTTTTTACCACGTGTTACAACCTACACGATGACCTAATAACCAGCGGATCTGTTTTAGTTTACGCGGTTAGTCAACCAAGCCTTAATGCATTAAACCAGATTAGTCAAACCACATGTTGAGACAAAGACTACGGGGGCTTTTAAGGGTGTGGTCTTTCACACAGACTCATCCCATTATAGTCTTCAAATTAAGAACATTAATCATAGGCTTATAGTCTCCGCCACAGTCGCTAATAATAAGATTTTAAAGCTTGCTGTACAAAAATGTTGCCATACCATAAGAACATTTTATAATATACTATATAAGACTTTATAAAAGCAAAAACTAGTTCATCAGAGTATACGGGTCCTGCCCAGCCATAGTTCGTTGAACTTTTTGAGTCTGCACGGACGGTAATGGACGTGGCTAGCGTGCCAAAAAGGGAGGCACTCTGCCATCCAAAGGCCTATATGGAGATCGAAAGGATTACGAATTAAAATGCAAGCTAACTTTCAGCGCTGATCTAAAATAAAGCGAGGCAACAATGCCATTTGAACCAAATTAATCAAAAGTTTCTACCGCCCATTGTTAACACTGTTGAGAACAATTTGGTCATTAAAGGCCCCCTTCGAAATCAGCGTGAAAAAAACATCTTTCCTTTCTGGAATACTTAGGTGCTTTCAAATTAAACTTACCAAATGAAACTTTAAAGGGTTCATGCAGTGAATTTGTCTTCGGAACTTATTTTTGCAACTTTCTACTCCTCTTAAATAATTATATGAAAAATTGTTGACATCCTTTTTGGGACAACTGAGGGAGCTGTTGCTGTGATGTCATTTCAAGAAGACACTGTTCAGTTTAGGGGTTTTCTGTTCAAATTGTGACCCCAAATATTTGCCTCTTGAAAATGTTTGTGAAAAAATGTGTTCAATGGCTTACTGCCATGTACTGACACAACAAATCACCAAAGAAAAGAAAATGTATGAAAGCGAAATATCCAAAATTCTGGCAACTTTTGGTGCTTAAATAGCCGTAACATTGAGTTGTCTGCCTGAAATGACGTCAAACCTATGCTCATGAATATGTACATTTGCACCAGCATAAAAACCAAAAATACCCTTGAAAATGACAAAACAAAAATTGAAAATAGGATTAAATGGGACTCAAAGGTACATTTCCAAGGATTGCCTAACAAAAATTACATTACACGGGCCTTTAAGGTTGTGCGCCCCTTTTGGCCCATTTGCATCCCTACTTAATAATGTTCACCAACAATAACGTTGGTAGTGTTATACCTAAAAGAAAAAACGTATAAAGTGACCTTCTCTTTCTTTGTAAACCAGTGATATTACACATTGGAGAATCCTAAACCAAGTTATAGACTTTACCGATTTTGAGTCAAACACTGTTAAACACTCTGTTTCTTTCCATAACATCTGTTGACTATTTTGCCTAGTTTAAATGAACATTGTTTCGGGTTTTTTTTAGTAAGATACACCATTATTTAATTCCCATTTTTAACTAATTATCTTGTTAGTTGAATATTGTTATAATAGCATAGCCATGTACTATCAAATACAAGAACGCAACATCAATATGAAATACAAATAGTGCAATAGTTAAATTGCAAATAATTTAGCGGTTACTTAACTTGTTTCTACTCTAAACAAATACAAATACGATATTACGTGCGTGCCAGATGAAAGCCTTCAAGCCAAAATGAAGAAAGTGTTGTTTTTTTTTGTTCTGATAAAAACTCGAAGAAAGAGTTTCGAAACATTGTTCAAAAGACTTGTGTATCTTTCTTTGAAATAATGATCTTAAGGTTTTGAAAACAGCCTTTCCTAGGTAAAATTATGCTTTTGGAATCGGAAAGTTTCAGTGATTTTCTCATCTGGAAGTTTTGTCGTCGAAACTCCCAAAAAACTTCCTAGCGCTTCCCTTTACCTTGTTTTTAAGGGAGATGTAAGATTTGCGTTTATGGATACTTTTGATATATCAATGACGATATCTTGCTTTAGCGAAGTTATTTGTTATTTACATAAATAAGAAGTAGCTACTATATTAATGTACAATAGTCATACTTTTTATAAGATTTCTACCGTAATTCTAATATGCCTAGTAATAACAAAACCTCTCTCTACTATAATCGCAAAAAAATTGAATTTGAATATTTTTACAGCATTAAATTTGCTATTTGCCGAGCTCAGCCACCTCAAAATATAGTAATAAATATTGTTTATCATCTATTGCAATCAAGGAACGGAAAATAGAAATAATTCAATGAAAAATAAACAGCTGCTAAAAAGAACAGAGAAAAACTATAACTAACTTGTCAATGAGGGCGCTTTTTACCATTAAAGGGCCGCGCACATAAGGTTAGCTCTCAACGGCCCGATGAGGATCAAATTCTTTCATTAAAAGCGTATTTATTAATGAGTAAAATATTCAAAAAAGGAAATAAATAGATTTGATAAAGAATACAGCATTTGAATATATAATATATAATAATCTACGCTTAACGGGAAAAGGACAAAACTACTTTGTATCATCCAACAAACCTCTCCTTCGACAAAACCCACAAGAAGAGCTAATCAATCAAAGCATTATAACCCATAACTCAAGTCAAACACTTTACTCATAATACAAGTCTCAAACCACATTACTATAGGCACTTACGAGTTTTCAAAATACTTGCCTCTGCGAATCTAAAAAAGCGAATCTAAAAAAAGCCTATATTCATATAAAATTAATGTACTGTACAAGTGATAGATTTTACTACAGTTAATAATCTTAATTCTATTACTATTTTGAATTATATATATAAAGACACATCAAGTGCAGTTCTTATTATTCATGGCAATTGAAAAAAAGTAATCTATACTTGCTTTCAAATTTCGTATGCTTTCACGAAAGGGTCATTTTGACTTTACATATTGATCCAATTAATACTATATTGGAGCTTACGGACAAATTTGTACTGTTTTAAATGTACCTAATGTCACATTCACACAAGAGGGGCTACCCACGTGTTGGATTGGATAAATTCCAATGAATATCTAAAAGGTCAAAATTCATGCCAAAGTCAGTCATTATAAAATTGGTAACTGGTATTAAAATACCATGTTCTTCCACTTAGGATGCTTGCAACTGCCAGTGATTTTTGTTCAGATTTAATGTACCCGCTGCCTTATCAATTAATTATCAGCTGTAGCGCCCTCTGTAGTGAGTGCAAATTTACGATAAGCCTAAAACAATGGAAGAAACACAAACCTCTCAGTGCATGCATAGAGGTATAAGGTTCACAAAATTACAAAACAGCTCGAGGATTATGCCAGATTAGAAGCGTGATTTTACAGCTATAAGGCACTTTAATCTGGTCAACAGCTAAATTTTTTTTAAGGCAAAACACCCTTTTTTTACCACTCGCGCGTATTTTGTCTCGGACTTATTTCACGCAACACTCATAAACGAAGTACAACTTCAAACTTGTTTTCTGCAATAGCAGCAGTACCAACCAATCGCATCCACTGTAAACTTGTCAATCATGACGTCACACCCGGACAGCCTGTAGCTTAGTGGCTCCTGGTGGTGGGGTGGGCGTGACTGCTGCCCCCGTGGTGGGCGTGGTGGTGCGTGGTCGGCTGTCACACTCGCCGTCACGGCACGCTTGACACAACGTGGCGTTGTGCTGCGTGCGTGGCTTGCCGGCGCGGCGGTCGTAACGGATGGGCGGCTTGACAAATCCGTAGTACGTCTGAAATTACAAAAAAATATAAATCATACCAACGTGAATTTCATCTTTATTAGACCATCATCCTTGGGTTAATCCGATGAAGGAACACTGTTCTCTTTAACGTCTATGTATTTCGCGATATACTATCCCAGTTTTCCGTGACGGATACCATGGCACCGACTTCTTTTGTGCTCTATAGGGTTCTGAGAGTTCTGTTAAAATATCACAGCTTTAAATTTGGATATTTTTTTTCCATTATTTAATTAATCTTTAATACTCGGAGCTAAAACCTCTCGTTATATTTTTTTTCACGAGTCTGCATCCCCTTTGCCGCAGATACTTCAGGAAGTATAAAATATCGACCAAAAACCACAAAGGGAAATATGGACACTTCAAGAAATGGTCGAGACAAGATTTGATGTGATTTCGCCTTTTTGAATTGTTGACCTCGTGTATCTATAGAACGCCCTACTTATGCCCAACGATTTGACTAAAAATGCATGTCATGCGTGCAAAGTTGGCTTTGTACAAATAATCAATGACATTTAATTCTCTGTATCAATATTGATGCATATAGCAGTACTGAGGTTGTTAGTTCCTGGTGCAATTGACGATTTTGCTAGTGAATATGACAGTGAACATTGATACCATAAGTTCAATCACCTTTTTGGTATAGGTCTATGTCTCTTTCAGTTCGTTGGCTTTTAACAGTCAATTTGTAAAGGTCTCTGCTCGAGTCCTACATTGGTCCAACAAAGACCGCCATGTCATGGGTTCCCCCGCCGGGTGGTGCTGATCTAACAACCGTTCATTGTGTTCCATAGTCGCGCTGAACCAAAACTTTAAGTAATAACCGGGGCGAGCCATGGCAGGTTGACTCTAATGGAATTTTTTTCAGAGTTGCGAACTTTATGAACTTTTTTTCGATTGAGTTGTTCTGAACAACTTTCAACAGCTAATCTTGTAGGCCTGAACGATTTGCTCGCGAAGTCTAATCTTCGAGAGAAAAAAACAACATTTCGGTGCGACTCTGAAACGCCAGTCTAAAACGGGTAGGCCTATTACTTAGGATTAGATAGGCGTGTATGTTGTGTGCTATGGTTTTTGGGACGGTAAACAACCTTAGCATGACGTGTTTGCAAGACATACCTCTAATACTATAACAACAGTTAAATTGATACCATGCGGTACGTATTATAGACCTATACTTTCGTGACGTCACATTTTGAGTTGCATGCATTATGCATGCACACCAAACTACGTGTGTGTCACTTTTTGCTCATCTCGGAACACTCAAAACGTGACGTATCAAAAACATGTGATGTCATGAGCGAGATGTTTAAGCATAGTTTTGGTATCCCTAACTGGTTCCCTCGCTCACCTGACCGATTCTGTTGTAGAGATTGCAAAGTACTTTGTTGACTTCTTCCGGGTACCACATTGCCGGTTCGAACATGCCGTTGTTGCACCGTTGGCACTGCTGGCCGTAGAGTTTGAACTGAACAAACCCCTCACAATACGGAATGTGCAAGAAGTACCAGAAGACCACGCGGCCTTTCATGGACGTCCAGCCATGACCACAGGTCTGAAAAAAGTCGGGAAAATTGTATAATATATTTATCAGTGCGGGAATGGACAACGCCAGACCAGTTATTTTGACTTCCGAGCACGCTATCAGGGTAATTCACGGAGGCCCTCCATCAATGGCGAAAATATTGTGTCATGGCAGTTGCTTTGTACAATGGCTGGTACAATGCTTTCGCCATTGAAGGGGGCCACCGTAATTATACAGTGATAGCATGCACGGATTGGTCTATACTGTAAACTAACAAACTTAGCTTGGATCAAAACCACCGCCATTTTTTTGCAGGTCATGATGTCAGTTATAGCACAGCTCATCAGGTTATGCATACTCCACATCACAGCTTATGATTATGCATTGCACCACAGCTCATGATTATGCATATATACCTGCACAGCTCATGATTTTGCGTACCTGTACAGCTCATGATTATGCATACCTCAACAGCTCATGATTATACATATACAGCTCAATGTTATGCATACCTCCAAAGCTCATGGTTATGCATACCTCCACAGCTCATTAATTATGCCTATTTTATGTGTACCTCTTCCATTTCCCTAAACTGTTATCTTTCCATCGTAGATTTTTTTAAAATACGAAGTTCATTGCTTCATGGCCTGTCAAATGGAAACGGATAAGACCCACGTGACCCTGATGACGTCACCACTGATTACTCACCTGGCAACAGAAGCGAACCTTAGCGCTGTCTTTGAAGCGCCGCCAGCGGGGACTAGGGCAAACCTCGGTTGAGCAAAGAAACCAGATATGGGGTAGGTAGGGCTGGAACACCTTGGCAAACTCCCCGTTCCAGATCTCGTCCATCCTAAGCAAAAAAAAACAGGAAAAGATTGTGAGTACATCATGGTCGAAATTATTCGTTTAGCAAAAACAGGTTACCAGTCAAAGTGTCGTGCAATGTATATTGCTTGTAACTGGTACTCAGCTGAATGCTAAGCACACAATTTGGCTAATAAGCTTCGTTGCAGATTGATGGAAATCGGCCCATGCAGGCCTGCGCCTATAAGTAGTACAGCGGATAGGTGATGGGATTGTGCCTTCGGTGATACAAGCATGGTATTTGGCAACAGTCATTAGATAATGCCATGAGAAAAATACTTGGCTATAGGACCATCGCAGTTTTGTCCTTTGAAAAAAAAATATTGGTAAAATAACAAGCAATGGCAGCTATTTTGAAAATTTTGAAAATTGCCTGTTATTCCACCTGTATTTTTTCAAAGGACAAATCTGTGATGGCCCTGTAGCCAGATACCTTTCTTAAGACATACACTGACTGTTTGCCAAATGCCATGCTTGTATCATCAAAGGCACAATTCCCCCAAATATTTCCCCTATCTGCCCCACTAAAATATTCTCTCCAATCACCGAAATTGCCAATGGAACGCAAGAAATTTCGAAAGGCTCCAGTGGAAAAGAACAAGCCTTTTCGCTCAGTTACTGTGTGGAATGCTGAGCTTATTGTGCAAGAACCCATTTATGTGGCCGAAGTTGACCAGTATACTATTTGGCGTATCTCGCAATCTCATACTGCAAAGGGTCAGTAATAAGTGGCCACGGTTTGCACTCCTTGTTACCGAATGATGGATAGTCTGCAAAGGAAGGTCAACGGGAAAAGACGACTGGGAGGCACTAGTGATTTCAAACCCATTAATGTAGTCGAAGAAGATTCCCTCTTATGTTGTATTGCCTTGCAGTTGGAAAGGTGAGTGCAAGTTTGCTGAAAGTCAAGATCGTCTTGTTTCACGTAAGTTTTAAAAATGTAATTCGTGAGTTTTTCCCCCATCGGTTCTGAGTTTTCTGAATTCGATAGCCTCTTCACCCTTCCAACCCGTCACTCAAGTTGCATAATGACACAACGTGCGGAAATGAACGAGGCACCTGGGCTGGGAGCCCTCCGTGCGAGCCGGGGGTGAATCATCGCCCGGGCCCGGCGACCAGTTAGCGGATGAGACACGCTGCTTAATCCCAGTCGGAACCCGGGGGAAAATGGGAGAAAGCTGGCCTGACCCGTGGACGATGATAATGCCATGACATGCTGGAATCTCTATACCCGTCTCTCTCCTCCGCCCTATAACCCATTAAAGCATGGCTAGGATTGATTCATGTAGTTTTTCCTGTCATTCATTAAGGTGCTATTTTAAGCCTATGACATCATCGCCAACGAGTCCCGACCCATCTTTTTAAGCTCTGGCAGGAGCGTCTACATGTCACTTGGTGGTCGGTCGGTCGGTCGGTCTGTCTGTCGCCGGGAAAACCAAAAGAACGGTGTTCCATTATGTGCCACCGGCGTCCCATTTTATTGTGCATTCGCACTTGTTTGCTGTAAACTGGAGAAAAAAAATCTAACCATTGCAGAAATGTTACATGGTGCGCTCTTACTGTGAACAATTTTTTTTAAATATTAATTAATTGTCAAATAAAAGTTCATGTACACTCATGCATTTCACAAAGAAACAGCGACCTGCCCTCAAATGTGATGTCAGCAACATGGGGTCTATTGGGGGAAGCTTTTGGTAAAAGTTGGTAGCACATGGGTTTGTTTGAGATCAAAGTTCGCTCGTACCCAGCGCCCTAACAGGGCGCTGGAAGAGCTAAAGCCCTTCAGCGCCCCGTTTGGGCGTTGGTTACGAGCGAAATATCACAGTACCCCTTGCACATGCTCAATTTATTCAGTATAGCAACGCATAATTTGCAACAAGGGGCAAGTTCGAGCAATGACCAGTGGTTAACTAGTGGTTGGTTCGTGACGTACCCAGCGCATGCGCACTGAAGTTGCTATGGAAATTGCCATTGATAACCAGCTATAAATCTTGGCTCGACCAGCCGCGGTAGGCTGGTCCTGAATAGTTGACTAGGGTAGTCCAACTTGGCCCTGTGTGGCCTCGCGATATCGAATGATACCCAGTTAAGTTGAAAAGAGAGACAAACATGACAAACCTCGGCCTCTTACGTAATAGCTTAGCAACTTACAAGATAGCAACGCGAACATGTTTTGTTTTGCTAGTATAACCTCGTTTTGATTCCAAAATGGCGTTGTCGTTCGACGAGTGGACGAAGACCAAAATGTTTTGTTGCATACGGTTAAGACATCGCAGTCTGGGTATAAACAGTCAGGTTAACGTAAAGTTCAGCACAACAGTGGCATCATGTACTCATCTGTGATGTGTGTTTTGTTATGTTAATTATTGATTAACAATGAATGCACAAGAAGGGTTCTTATGCGAATCTCTGTTGAACAAAAACACACACCTCATTGATGGCCGTAGTGCAAACGATCCATTAAGCAGAAACTATTACCGCTCAGCAAATGTGGGTGCTTAGCATGAATCAACCTGGGAACCAGTCAAATATAATATACATTACACGACATTTTCGCAGGTAACCTGGTTTTGCTAACCAGATGATTCCGGTGCTAAGCAGCTTAATTGAATCTGCTACAGGATACAAGAAGAAGGCGAGCCATATCTGAGCTCGCTACCAAAGTCTGCCACAACTTAAACACTGAAATGGCATCGCATTCAATGAAGTTAGCATTGTAGTAGATCATCATGTTGTCTTCAGCTGTCTCCAAGAGAGAGAAAAGAGAGATAAAACCAGAAAGAGGGATTTCCTGTTTGATTCACAATCCGTCAACAGAAATTATCCCACCTATAAATTACTCCAAAGGAGTCATAATTCGTTGGAGACAGGCCAAGGAACTATTAATAGCCCAAAAGAATCAGGCAAAGCCACAGATGCTAAGTCATGTCTTTGTCAGGAAAAAAAAACTACCCAGCTTTCGCTCAAAGATCAGTAGTAAAAAAAAACTAGAGCAGAGAAGAAAGTGCAGCGTCGATGGGCGCGATAATGCACGTTTTCCCCCAATATGACGCGGCAGTGTCGGGCACTTCTCAGCGAGTCCGGCACAGGCAACATAGCGGGGATTTGCGTCTACCTCTACGGGGGCAGTCTTATGACTAAACCCGCTTCCCCTGTGAATCACTCCGGTCGCGTCATCCCAAGCCTGTCCATAAATAACCCGGGCTTTTGGACCGCCAGTAACCCCAGTTAAACTTAAACTACACTCAGGAATTACATTTTTAACTCCTTGTTTTAAATAATATCTGAACGTGCTCCGAAGCTTGTGTTTTAAGAAGCGCGTTCAACTTGGAGGAGGAAGCGAAACGGCCGCAGAAACTTTGCGTTACCGTGCTGAGATTACCCATAAGTGAAATGCGCATGCGTGTGAGGGATGGAGCCATCATTCCCCATCCTGTCTGACCACACTTGTGCGTGCTTTCGTAGTATATCGCCCTTAGGGTACGCTCTCTAAACTGTTTCTCAGCACGTAGGCCTTCGCTAGTCATCATGTCTCTAAAAAGTAACTTGGAAGTCATAAGAACTAACGAGTATTGCATCACATCTTCTGTTTGATCCTTGGCAGGGCACCATGAGAAATAGAGAAGGGAAAGAAAAAACTCCAAGATCATGAAGAAAGTTTTAAGTTATTTTAGCACGACCGTCTTGCCTCTATTTACTGCTATCTTTCCACGATGCGACAATGATTTAAAAAGAAGTCTACATACAAAATTGTTACTCTTCGCTCGTTTTACTTTGCAAGAACATTGACTCTCGTGAAACACCGACTGTCACATGTCTGTGAAGGAAATGTCCATGACATGAGCATAGATCTGAATTCGACATTAATTGTTCTCCTTTCGTTGTCGTGCTATGTTATTTTTGGGCATAGCAGACGTACTTGAGTAAGATTGAACGGCCGTCACTGATGCGATCTGGCAATGTGACTCATGACAAAGTGTCACACAATTTATAAATAACCCTGGCAGCTTGGGTCACAGTGACAAACTTGGGCGACGCGATGCTGGCATGCGATGATAAAGTCACGACGAATCAATGTGTTGGCTGGTGAGAATAAACATCATCAGATTCGGAATCGAATCGAATGCATCCATCCATTCGCTTTCATCGATTCCATTCGAATCGGATGTAGAATCGATTTTAATCCGGGGAAGAAGGCCCACAGAACCGTCTTTGATAAAACCCAGTGAAGATGAATCATGTATATCATTTAACCACAAAAAAATTATCAACTTTGACGAAATTTCTCACCAAGGGTTTGGTGACGATTGTCCTCTGCGAATGCGCATTTTATGTGTGATATGTTTCATTGCTTGGTTATGATATTCGGAAGTTTATTTGGGTCATTCCATAAATTTGGGGTCCACTTTATGCCCCTGTTACATCTGACATCTATGGTTTTATAATTCTGATGCACTTCTTAATGAAGTCGTCCTCCAAAAATTATTGTGAATAGCAAAAAACCTACCCAACAAATAAAACATTTCATTTGAAGTCATTCTTAATGATGCTTGAATGGCAAATTACAAAGTACCAAGGTAACAGGGACAGGTAAAATTTCACACTTTGGACCCTGAATTTAAAGATCCTATGTGAGTTTTGACCCTAATCCATGCATGTAGGCTATTCAGAGCGAACATAATTATGAAAATTCTTATAATTGAATCGAATATATTTTTGTCAATATTCTGCAGTAGGCCTTCTATACAGGGCGAGTCACAAAGAAAGTGACCTCATGATAAAAAATATCGACTTAAATATTAAAAATAAAAAAAAAATATGTGGATCGCTCCATTTAATAAAAATAACGTTGGTATTAAGTATATTATTGACTAGTAACTGTTAAAAAAATCACGTAATTTGCATAGACCCTACATGTGTGTTCACAAGTTATGTCTCATTTACCGTTCAAATACAATGAATCAAGGGCGTTTTCCTGCCTTCATGAATGAACGAAAATTTGCACAAGAAACCAGACAAAAATTACAATCATTGTTTCAGAAAATATTTCCTAATACTCAAACGCAAAATCTGACTGTAAAAATAATGTTTCAGTCTTGACAAAAAAATAAAAAAAATTCATTTTTATCTGAATGCCTGTGTGTAATCTCTGGTTCTCACTCAGCTCAATAGCTTCAAATGGCATTCCATGGACAGCTGTAAAAATGGACTCTTTTAGTAAAATATCAATAATTTCTCACGACATGGCTCGATTACAGTAATTCCTTTTTTTATGAGTGGAAGAACGTGCTCGTTCAATATAATGTTTCGTTGGCGCGTCAAATTTAATTGCTTTTTAAGGGGAAAAATATCAATAATCCAGGTCACTTTCTTTTTGACTCACCAAGCAGAGGATTCTATGAATTGTATTTCCTTTAAATTCTAAGTTGTTGAGTTGTGTTTACAGCAGGGACACTTAAATAATGCCTCATTTTCTGGAAGGGGCACTCAAGATGTTTTTTTATATTTAAAAGCTCATTTTTGCCTTTCCTAAATTCTAAACTGAGAAGGGGAGACACGAGGGGGCAGAGGCCTCGGGGTGTGTGGGGGGGGGGGGGGGGGGGGGGAGGCTACCATCCACGCCACACCTTCACGCACTAGCCGCTAGGTTCTGTTCCTTCAAGGAAACTCTCTTATATGACGTAGTAATTCACAGACCGTCGCCACTAAACGGTATTTTCCAATGATCTATTAACAACAACTTTGACATCAGGGAAACTCCGCAAAGATTTTGTTGGCCACTATAAATCCAGGAATCCGGCCAGCAGTATTTCCTTAGTGTTTGTATTTACTTTCATTTCTGACATTCATCGTAAACACGATGAAGCACAGGGAAAACAATTGCTCGTCTCTTGTCGTTAACAGAAACTGCTTAATCAAGACCATGTGTGCAAAACACGGTCCGGTATATAAAAAAAAAATCGGAAATCCCTATTGGTGTTTTCCAAAACAATAACTTCCCTGTTTCTCAGTTTCAAGTATCGGTATTATTAAAGGTATAGGAGAATTGATTATTTTGTTTACTGCAGTTCTACTACGCACACAAAACAAGTGAAAAAGTCACAGGGTAGGCCTACATCGCAAATATGAAAGTGTATATGTTTTCAGCAGTACACAAAACACGCTCGACCGTTGCCTTTCCAAATATTGACAAAGTATTCATATAATATATCTCAAGTCGGCGAGTTTGTAGTAAACAGAGAAAGTCGCTGGTATCCTGTACCGTGGTAACCCGTTCTCATACTCACTTTGTTCGGGTTAATATTTCAAAGCACAAAGAAAAATCGTTAAAACAAAGAATCTTTTGTCTATAGCTACTGAGTTCTTCGACAGACATAATAGGTATAGCTATGGAAACCCGGCCAAATAAATTACCAAATGCATGAACGAGCACCGTAACCACGTGACTGGTTTGTTTGTTGTCCGTTGAGCCGGGGATCATCTCCAGTAATCAGGAACTACATTAAGGAGTTTGACCTCAATTCAGACCACTGTTCTCCGTTTCCAATTACGGCCTCTTGGGCGTAACGGAAAAGAAGAATTTACGTGGATTAGGGCCTACCTGGACGGACGGTGAAGAGAAGAGGACAGGAGAAGAAAGGGAAAGGTGTCATTATGTCGGTCTAATTTGAACAGTTTATTGTCTTTGTGTCTCCTGACGACGTGAATATTGGCCGAAACGTTCAGTTTCTGCCATTTCATTTCAGAACCACGAAAACTCACGACAGAGGTTTCTTGTCGCATTGTGCAACTATATACAAACTTAACTGCCGGCTTGACAATGCAGACCTGCCTGACTCCCTGGGTTTTCCCCAGAATATTCTTCTGGGGTTTTCCTCTCACCTCTAAAACTGTAATTTCCTTTCATTGTCTCCTCTCTTCAGGTTTCTTCAGGCTTGCAAGCTACAGTGCCTAGGGCACTCTTGAGGTATCCTTGGTTTCATTACCAGAAATAATGATAACAATAATAGTTCTAAAAATTACATTACCCCTGTACAAAGTGTGGACAAATTCGTGATTTACCGAACAGTTGTATCCGGGGTAATATAAAATGTTAATACGGACTCATTGGTTGTAATGTGCGTGCCTTAGACAGTGAAAAGTCATATATGAGGGTTAGAGTCCACATAAGTAAAGGGAGAACTGATTTCGTAGGGCCTGACTGGTCGTTGTGGAGTGATTTAATGATCGCCAGACTTCGCGAGCAAGATTCACGATTTTATTCACTGATCATGGGAGGTTTAATACTTTGTTGTTAGTAGTATTTTTCCTTCCACCTCCAACCAAGGTTCGATTCCTGCTAGGCCTAATGATTATTTTTTTTTCCAATTCATTGTGTGGTACGTTGGATTTCATTCGAGATTTTGTTCTGAAGGGTTGTCTTCCCACTTCCAGTTAAATTTTCCCTCTCGGTCCCTCTGAATAATATGCATGGACGTAGAGGGAGAGATGTGCTGAAGAACAGGCCAAGCTAACAGGACTCAAAACAATAGTCGGGCAAACGGGTTGGTATCATGAACCAATGCTGGTACACCAACTGACTGCACTCTTGGGAAAATTCTTCCCAGTAGTTGATCAATTTTTACCCGAATTAACCTAAATGAGGTAAATTCATACCAGTGTCGGGCCAAAAACATTGCAAAACAGTGTTTACCCAACTGTTTGCATAGTGTAGGATATAGGTTATAAGGTATTACATTTTTTCCCTTCTAATTCCTGATAGATTACATAATACATCCTGGTCCTTCGTTACTCATTTTTTTTCAACCACAGATTACTGCAGTCACAACTGTACGGTTTTATCTGAACAGATACATAAATTATTGTAGTTTCAAAATAAAGAGGGAGAAACTCGACAATTTGTGTCCTTTTCCAGTGAATGTGAAAATATTGAAACTTTCTAATTTCCAAGATTTTTGGGCACTTTTATTGCATCTGTTTTATTGTGGTAGTTTCATCATTGAGCATTTGACAAAAAAAAGTGCCTTGAAATATCACAATTCATTTTCCCAAGAAACGTACACTGATCTACTCCTATGTTAATGTTATTTCCAGTTCGCCGCAGTTGACTTGTTTTTGAACGGGATTCGAACCAGCAACGCCTCATTTGCTGGCGCAGATGTTTGAACCATATACTTTACTGCAGAGTTGAATGAAGTAGAATTGAAGATATGAAACATGGATATTGCGGTGAGTACAGTCGTTATTTTTCAGAGAACCTTTGGCTTTGATACAGCCTTGTTTACCTATCTAGTTGCCCGTTTGTGCTAGACCGAAGGGACAGCTTAGGTACTGTTCTCTGGTTGACTGAATCACTGACTGACTCCCCGACTGACTGACTGACCGACTGAGTCATAGAATATAAATAAAATGTCGCATAAACGGAGACTTTCGAATCCAGCTCATAGACAAGCCTACTTTGTCAAAAAGTATTGAATGATTTTTTTTTTGCCCGACAACCCTCTGTCTTGACACTGATTCTCACTTATCTAACTGACCGACGCCGCGATTTTTGTTGACTCTGGGTCATGTTGACTCCGGATCATGTCGACTCCATTCCGACTCTATATGAACATAGCTACCTTCCAGCACGTGGTCTGTCCGTGATTTTGACCCTCTATAGAAAACAAATCATGACGACGCCCATGGCCATAGTTCCGCATGATTTGCAAGTCCATTGATTCGTCTGATGGATGTACCGTTGTCTGAGACCAACAAAATGGCAATGAAGTCTGATTTTGTGATGCTCGGAAAGTCGGTCGGTCCAACCGTATACGACATGAATATCTTAGACCGTCGAAAGAGCCTCTGTTGAGCCTGTTCTACCTGCTAAAGTAATTATGCTCGTTGAATGCATTCGATTTCCAACAAGTTCCTGCTGTCTGTTGCTTTTTAGGACTTACGATTTTCCAAGCTAAAAATACAATTTGTAGTACCTACCTTTCTGCGTAAAACATCGGGGATGCTTGGCCTGGTGTCTGGTGCAACACAGTCTCAATAGGATATTCCATGACTGAAGATAACTGGATGATTTTGTCCTCAAAATTTCAGTTGTTCTCTCTGCGTGCAAGTGATGTCGTTGTTATAAAACAAGGAAACTTTGTCGATCCTCAATGCTGTCAGTCGAATTGAAACCGATTCAATGTTTGATGTTGTTAAAATACATTCAGAAGGGCCTGGGAATTTCCAGTCGATATGACACGTGGTTGGGCTGTATTCGAAACGACAGGTAGCGCGCGCAACGAGTTTATGTTTCTAGGAACTTGGTGAAATTTTATGGAAACTCGAAAGAGAAATTAGCAAGTCCACAACATTTGGTACGCACCTGGTCAGGAAATAAATAGTGCTGTGTTTGTGTTCGAGTAAAACACTGAGTGAGGGAAAAAACCTAACGCTGGATCGAATTGTTTTGCTGCATTTACGGAGTACTACTTGTTGAGCGCCGACTGAGCGCGTGTACTGTGAAGCCCCGGCCGCAATCAGCGCGCTTGAGACCCACGAGCTCAAGCCAGCGACATGGTGCGTGGAGGGCGGTTGCGCGGTGTGCACAAGGCTGAGGTCGGTCTGCGTGGAACAAAAGAGGGCTTCTCACCGCTGGTGTGCAAAGTATTACACTGACTGTCAGCAACCTTCTGGGCCTACCGACATGATCTCACTTTCCGTTCTTATTAAACCATGGCTTCCCCCTTCTCCTGACCCAACACGGGCAGCCTTAATTGGTATTAGCGTGAGTTGGATGGGGACCGGGCGGTGACTAACCGTTCGTTATACGGCTGGGTAGATCGTCTTGGGAAACGAGGAATTCTAGACAATCCGGTGTCCCGTGAAAGATCCTTGCAAAACCTGCGCACCAGACCCGCCAGTTTGGTCAAGACGATATAAGTTTTCCCCGTTGAAGTCTTGCCTTGGTTATTCCTTGTCAATGGTACATTGGCAAAATTTTGATCCAACTTTGGATTTTCAGCACAAAGTCGTCACTGTAGCGCAGTGGCTCATATTATGCTTCCCGCTTTCTTGATTAAAACTTCCATGCATGTACGGAAATGCCACAACCTTTGTGAATACCATCCAAGCACAACCCAGGAAGATGAACAGAAACAATTCATGCCTAAAACCTCCTTCAAAATTCATTCAAAACTCAACTCACCAGTTCAAAACAATTGTTTGAAACACTGAACATTATATTGCTCGGAAACTGTTTCCGAAAAGTGCACGTGCGCTCACCGATTTGGTTTAAAGGGTTTTTTGTGTCTGCTTCAAATATATGACCCTTTAATTACTCATTCAGAAGTCGCCGCTCACAGGATAACTGTGTGAGCAAACCGAACTCAAAAGTACGAAATGACCGAATCTGGTTCAATTATTGTAACTTAAGCATGTTGTGCTGAAGCAAAAGCCAGCCTCCCAAAACATCCGATGAAATCTTAGCAAATTAATACTTCCTATAATACAAGTTTGCCTCGTCCTTGTCATATTACAATGCTTCCTTCTCACGGACAAGATATCATAACCTAATAATTATTCTCCCCGTTGACCTTAAATAATTATTCTCTGGGTATAGGTAGTACTGTACGGCGGCTGACAAAATGATATTCCAATTTTTTTGGGAAGAACCCGGGCACAGGAAACAAGGCTGTGAATTGACCGGTATCATCGAGCTAGCATGTGTATTACAAGAGTCCACCAGGGCCAGTCGAATTTGAGGAAATGTTACCTGTATCACGCTGTAACTATGAAGACAGTGCTACTTTACGTCCTGTGTGAGCTGTTCCCAAATCTAGATGATTGTTCAAATCTCCAAAGGGGCATTTTATAATCCTTGCTGTCCTGCATACTAGATGGATAAATAATATAGTCACATTTGCATCTCCGAATCTGCTCTATCCAATCGTACACAGAACAAAATCGTCATATGGGAATGAAAACGAAGTTACCCGATTCTTTGGTTTGTAGGCTACATGTCAATTACGGAGTGCATTCAGGTGGTTGAAACTTGCCATCTCAGCCTCTCGTTCGACTCAACCGAGGGGCCAATAAAACAGGACCGTTGTCGCCCCAATGTTACCGACACAATTACGAGTGGAAAGAAAAGTCTTGGCCGCTTTTTATCTCCGGTTTCCTCTGCATGATGCAACGACTGACACTGTTTCTATTCCCGACGATGAGTTGGCAGTCCATCACAGGTTACTGCAGTGTTGAAGTTGAGTCACTTGAGTCGACTCCGAGTCTTTTACCAATGCGAGTCGAGTCGAGTTCGAGTCACCAAAGTTGCGACTATAAAGACGAACTCGCGTCCGAGTCCATCCTGGACTCGAGTCCTACAACACTGGGTCACCGCCCAGCGAAATAGGTACCCATGCGTATTCCTTGATGGGAAAGAGACGAGTATAGGGGTTGAATAGCTTGCCCAAGGACACAACAGTATAATGGTCAGTGTATGGATTTGAACCCAGACCCACTGATCATGAGTCACAAACCCTATTCTCCCTGGCCCTCAGGATTGTGAGAGACGTTATACGTCATCTCATCGGTGGAGCAGGGATAGAAATACGGTCGCTTCATTATACTCGATCATCTCCATATACAATGCATATCAAGTAAATCTGAATTAGGATATTGATGACACCGTGGTCCGTGGATAGATAGAAACAAGTTAATTACTACTAAACATAGTTTTGTAGATGTTCTCAGTGTACGCGCATCAAAACCATGTCATAAGTTGGCCGTTTCCTCCACAGATCAGCTTTTATGGCCGCCATGGTTGCAGCTTGGGGGTGGGGGTGGGTACGTACTTGCACTCATTTTTGGGCTATCCGCGCCCAGAAATTTGATTTACTAATTCTGGTTGTGGCTTCTTGCACCGATACGCCGTCTGTTCCTGTATGAAAAGCTGCCGTTTTCTGCGTACTCGCCAGTTCCTTCATTGTCAAACCTTTGTTCTTTGATACAGACAAACTCTCCAATGATGTGGATTGGAGACTAATTGGCATTTCGTTTGAATAATTGTCCACCATCTTAATAACTTTGAATTTTGTGCAAAACTATGCATACGGAAGCAATGCGAGTAATTGCCTCAGTGCCGCGGTAAGATAATTATTAATCAAAATTTATGAACGATGGTACCGCAAACAAAATTCATTTCATTCAGTGTTTTCCAATTCCTTGGAAAACATTACTAACACTTCTTCAATCGTTGCGAAACAAAACTCCTCGGATGATGAAGCAAAGTTTCAAATTCAGGAAGAAGGAAATCGTAAAATACAAAATACGACAGCCATTGGCCTTGTCTGTTTATGAAGTTAACTTTGAACAAGGACACCACAAAAATATCAAAAAGACAATTTCAAATAATCGTCAACTGAAATACCATTTCTGAAAATATTGAATAATCGTTGCCAAAACTACGAACTTGAATTTTCTGCATGACAATGTTTTGGGTGATTGTAGCTAAATACACCATTTGAATAATTCGATCACTTCTCAAACAAACGGGAATTGATTAAAAAAAATGTATGGGTACTTTTCCCGCTTCAAATGTTTATTTTGGTAGCATGTTTCATGATGATCAGTCACATGAGGATGACAGAGAATTACACACCCAATAGGGTTTAAGAGTTAAGACCTTAACCCAAGACAGAATGTGGAAGTAGGTTCTCTATGACTCGGACTCAGAATAAGGCGCGTCACCTCTTGGCAAAAACTCAAACAATAAATGGAAGTGGACCGAAATTACCTCATTGACGCAAGTTGGCAAAGGGATCTTCCGAATGAACTTTACAGCGGGGCACGGCGAACATGGAGACAATTTTAACCTTAGTAAATGATTTTAAGCAGGTGCTTGTCTATTTGTGGCTGCGTGGGCGGGTTGATGCATTTGTCCCTTCTCCATAACAATTAAGATTTACAGAAAAAAATAGACCTTAGGCCAAAAAAAAAAATATTCGGTCTCTGGTCAGACCAAAGTTCCGGAATTGACGCGGCCACGCGGCTTTTTTTTTTTTTTCCTCAGCTTGGATTGTACAGACAAGGTGGGTACTATTTTGCTTTTTTGGTGTCCTCATGTACATTGGTGGCCTCCATAATTTGCCTTGGTGCTTTCGATCATTTGCCTTGGTGCAATTTCCCATTCCTTGGTGCTCTTTGGTAAAAAAAAATTGAGGAGGTGCGGAAATAGAGGGCCCTGTTGGAGCTACCGCGGAACATTTTGGGAAAAAAAAAGATCGACGCGCATGCTTAAAATCGACGCGCGCGCTGACCAGAGACCGACTTATTTTTTTTTTTGGCCTTAGCTCTACAAATACCGAAGCGGAATCAGCCGTCTGTATATTTTTGTTTTTCATCGACGCGCAATTTTTTTTCGTGGCAGACCTTTATTGGTTTTAGACTCATGTCTTGCGGATGCTTTGACATCAACTTCAGGCGAAGCTTTTTTTTTATTGACCATGTGTAAAAAAAAAATGTGGAATCTTAATGATCATAATCATACATTGCTGAGTTTGAATAAGCTAAATCTTTGCATATGTATGCACTCCGATGAAAGTCTCTGTTAATTAACAAAGTTTCATATAAATAAATCGCGTCCATTTTTTTTTTTTTTTAATTTTGAGGGGTCAATTTCCCCAGTCACAGATCTGGGAACCAACTATTTTACATGTTGCTTAGCATGTGACCAGACTCTATATTTCTATTATTGTAGATAGTTCCCTGAAACTAATTTTAAAATCGCCTCGTAATTTCCTTCTGACCATGTGTTGTGAAGCACCCAATATTAGAAATCCCAAGGGAATATGGATTGGTCTTATGCCATTCTGTAGTGTCTATTTCTAGTGATGAAACTAGTGTTAATTTTAGTCGCGGTTAGGGGAGGAAGACTAAACCCACTGCAAGGCTTAAGATGGGAGTGGGGTACTTTGTGCGTCAGAAACAAACCTTAAACAATCTTCGTCACTGTGTCCGTTCCAAGGCCCAAAATATCACCCGTTAACACCAGCTTGGAAGAGGGCCATTTTCAAACCCCTGCCTTCTGTTGGCCATTTTCCATCCCACAAACTATTCATGAGACAAAACGCTTATCAGGCGCAGATATACAGGTTCGAATCAAGAGGGGAGTTTAGCTGCCAAGCTTAGAGAGGGGGGGGGGGAGTATAGACCCCCCCCCCATCCGTCAAATTCGTCAATTGCTTATTCCGTTTTTGGTCACACCCGGTTTTTTTCTCGCCAATCGGAACTTCCGATAGGAACGGAACGGCCGTTGGCGGTTTTAGTTTTGTTGGAATTTGGCCCCGTTTCTGCGTGAACCAAGCATCTGAACGCAATAATGCAGGTACATTGTACTTTTGAAAATATGACGCCAAAACAATTTCACGATGGAATGCGGAAATTTTTAAAGTTGCGAAATGTTTCCTATGGGGTCTAGGTTCCTGGTCCCCCTTTTTGTCGCGTTTTCAGAAGACGCACCGTGCATATTCAAACGGAGATAGAATCAGTCATAGGCAGCAGACTATCACCATTGACACAAACAATTTAGATGCCCTATGTCATATCAAACGTTGACGAATACGAAAAGGAATACATTTCCCCCATTACTTTGGTGAACTTGGATATACATTTGT